CCAGAGCTCACTCCTCTCACCTTCATGTCTGCGATGGACTCCAGCTTCTGCTGTCCTTTGGGCTTCTTCTTCTGGAAGTCCTCCATCAGGTTCTTGATGTTGGTGCCGATCTCTCCAAAATTCAGGTACAGGTTCTGCGGGGGAGGGGGGCAGAGGGCGGCATGAGTGAACCTGAGGAGCACCGCAGGGATATCCCCGGTCTTTCTGATCCCGAGATCTTCGACCAGTAACCCCGCCAGATTTCCACAGACACAAAAACTGCCAGCTAACTCTCTTGCCTCGGGTCACTGGATGTGGACCAAATCAAACGAGCACCAAACCTTCGAGTCCTCTGTTCACTCAGACTCCCTATACAGGTCACTAGCAACACATGAAGCTCTAATAACAATCATTGGGGGTGAATACTTTTTCACTGTGTGTGTATATACACACACACACAAACACAAAATGCAGACGCAGCGCTACCAAAAAGGCTCGGTGTGTCTTGTCAGTGAAGTCTGTTGGACAAACCACGCCAGACAATTTCAGGCCATGAAATGCAAAATCCAAGCGAAGGCATGTCAAGATGTAACGCTAGGAGCTAGGAGGAACATATCGATGACCAGGCGATAAGGAGCCCTGGCATCAGCTGAAACCAGGGCACTGAGGTCCATCCTGGGCCCTTACAGACGCTGCCACTCAGACAGGGTGGTCAAGGACCCCGAATCTCTTCAGTGCCGAGCAGAGGAGACTCTGGGAACCCCCGACAGTCAATCCAGAGGACCAGCAGTGGAACAGTGACGCCGGGACGCAGGGGAAACGCAGTGGGTGTAAGGCTAGGATGGGACAAGGGCATGGTGCCCGCAACACACTGCCAGCCCACATGGTCCAGCCAGATTCCTCAGGATCCTTCTGGGTTCAGCCGAACGAGAAAGAGGGGCACAACAGTCACCTCTCATCCCCTGCACCCCAATTCTGACACAATTAAAGCACTGTGACCTGGTCACAGGGAGACTCTAAATTGCCACCTTCTGCTCCTTCCTGCTTGTTCCAGATGCTCACCCCAGTCTGGGGCCACAATGCCAGACTCCAATTAAAAATAATCAAGACCAGGACACACGGTCATAACCACTGAACTGCTATCCGGGAAAATCATGCTAGAACTGCATCATGGATCTGTCGGAAACATGAATTACGAATTGACATCGGAACATGGGTAGCAGTGTGCATCTTATCTAGCAGTACAACAGGGCAGAAGGTGAACAAATTGAATCAACCACCCAAGCAGCTAATGAAGTGCTGTCATCTAGTGGCCACAGGTGAAGCTCATTAATGCAAAACACATGATGCACACAAGTGAGTGACATTTTCTCACTTTTGGCATAGGTTCGAGTCAAGGTGTGTGATAGCAGTATAGACTAACCACAGGTGCAGACATGCAATAGTGTGCCGAGCTTGCTAACACTGGCAGTCGGTGCATCTGATAAGCTTGTTAGCCGGTATCGAGGATTTTAACCGACAAACACGCCAGGGCACCAGCGTCCAGCAACATGGCTGGGCTGGGATACCCTGTTCCAGGCTCCCACCACCCCTTTGTGTAAAGACCCCCAGCCTGCAGGGCAGGGCACGCACGTTGGCGTAGAACTCGTCGCTCTCTGCAGACAGCACCACCTCCCGCAGGTCCTTGCTGATGCCCGGCACGCGGGACAGGTCGATGCGGTTGTTGTTGAGACCCAGGAGCTCATGGACCATGGCCTGGTACGTCCACTGAGGAGGCCGAACGAAAAAAAAAAACACGTCAATTACCCAGAACCCCCACCAACTCTCACAGACGCTCCCACAGCAGCTTCATCTGCCCCCAAAGTCCCTGACGATCGTCTGTAATTAGGGATGCATGACCATCACTAATTGTTAAATTACTTATTTGGCTGATACTTTCTTTACCTATTTCTGTAGCTGGGTATTTCACTGGAGCAATTCAGGTGAGGTGCCTTTCTCAAGGGCACAACAGCTGTGTCTCACCTCGGACTGGAACCCACAACCTCCCGGCTGCCAGTCCAGAACCCTGACCCACTGCGCCAAACTGCTGCCCCAATCATTGCTAAACATGCCTGAAAGCCTATACGGATCACAGAGAACTACTCGCTCGGACACTGGGCTGAGAAAATTTGCTTGGTTCTGCTGAAGATGCAGTTGACTGTGTAAAACCTAATACAGCTAATTAAGCCAAATTGCCCGACCTATTGATAAAACTTTGCTGCCACCTAGTGGCCATATTGAATTATCAACCCATTTTCTGACCGCTTTATGCAAATCAGGGTCACAGAGGAACCTAAGCCTGTCCCCTCAAGTGACAGCACAAAGCAGGATACACCTACACAGGGCACACAGACACACACTCTCACGCCAGGGCCAGTTTTCCCAGAAGCCACTTTAACCCACCAGCATGTCTTTGGACTGTGGGAGGAAGCCGGAACATCCAGAGGAAATCCACACTAACAAGGCAAAACATACAAAGTCCACACAGCCAGCGCCCCAGGACCACAGCGCTACGAGGTAGCAGTGCTAACTACCGTGCCCACAAGCTGTGCCACATGGCTAATATTTTTGCAATATTATTATATTAAAGGCAGTGAGGCGGGGGGAATGGGAGGGGGCAGGGAGGGGCGTGGCACTGGTCCAGTGAGGCAGGAGGACTGGCACAGGTGCTCACCTGGCTCAGAAGGGGCGTGATGGCATCGTCGCTGCGGTCCAGGATGAGCAGAAGTGGGGGCACCTCCGTCTTCCTGAAGTCAAACAGCTCGTACTCCTTGGTGATGATTTGCTGTGGAGGGGGGGAGGGACAGGCTAGCACAAAGAGGCAGGTGGGGAAACTGCTGACAAATCGGAGACAGCCTGGCCTTCTCCACACCCATACCCAGATGCCATGAGGAATGCCCACTGACGGGTGCTAGGAACCGGACCCAGGAACTAGCTCACAAAATGCCTGTGTCATTAACAAAACCATGCTACTCTGACTCTAATAGGAGGGCAGGTCTCCGATTGTAGAGCTCTGTATGATCAGACCAAGACCCTTCAAGTGAACAGAAACAGACTAAGTTACAAAATTACAGCTCAAGTACAATATTTGGGTGCTGTGGGATTGAGTGGCTCAATTTAAAGACTCAGACTGGAGTGCAGATTGCGACCTATTAATAAGACTTCATGACACTGCCCAGATCTGAACCTGTGATCTCTAGATCAGAAGATCTCTAGACTTAAGAAGTGAGGATTCCATTACAAACTAATTAACACACAGCTAACAAAGTGTTCCTCAGTCCTTGTCCTGGAGAGCCCTTGTGTCTGCTGGTTTTGGTATCAATTGAGCCCTTAAACCCCAGTGCTAAATGGTGCCTTGACTTCCTTGCAGGTTAAGACTTTTTTTCCCAGAACTCAGTCCTTACTTTAAAACAATACACTGAAGTACATTAAGACAAACTTCAGCACACAACTTAATACATTCCAACCTCAACTTGCTCCCTTACTTGACTCAACGGCTCAAAAGAGGTCAGTTGATGATGGACAGGTGCAGGTGGAGATGACACTGCACAGGGTCCCGCCCCCAGTGGGGACGGCACCATGACCGGCCCCGCCCATAAGTGGGGACGGCACCAGGAGCGGCCCCGCCCATAAGTGGGGACGGCCCCCAGCAAGTGACCTTTTACTTTAGCTTCAATTGATTATATTTCAGTTCACACACCTGAGTGAGAGCAGTCCTAAAACTAGCTAATTAGCATAGGGTTCAAACCAATCACACATCCTATTCTGATTTCAAAGCATGTGAATTTAAAGAGCTTTTTAATTTAAAAAAAAGCCTCAGACAGAAAAATGAAATCAACCACATGATTGGCGCAAAAATCAGCAGATTCAGGGGTCACCCAGTACCAGGGCTGACTTCCTTTTAAACCCACTTACTTAGCTGGGTGTTTTACTGAGGAATTTGGGTGAAGTTGTGTTGCAGGTTTCACTTTCCAGTTATGATTCCAGAGTGCTAATCATTGCGCCACACAGCTGCCCTGTTAATGGTATTTTATGTTGCATACGGAATTAAAAAAAAGTCTAAAAAGTTGTTCACTTGGACATGCAGCTAACAAAACTCACTTGTTTCTGCTGAAGACGCAGTTGACAGAACAAGAAGTGATGTGAATTAAATGAACTGGCCAAGCTATCAATGAAGCTCTGCTGCCACCTAGTGGGCACCTGTGAAGAAGCAGCCATTGCCCAGTCTCCGCACTGCGGCTCCGGGTGCCGGACCGGGATGCGGACGGGCGCGGCGGGCACCTACCTTGACGCTCTCGGCCAGCCTCTTGGCCATGTCGGAGGACAGCTGGTAGCGGATCATGGGGCACTTCTTCAAGGCCAGGAGGACGGAGGTCAGGCCCTGCGTGGTGCGGGCCAGCACGGCGGGCTCCCAGCTCCGGCCCTGCGGGATAGATAATTACAGATCCGGTTGGTAGGCCCATCTTTACACAAAGGGTTGTGGGGGTCAGGAACAGCCATGCGGCTGAGGAGGCTTCCCCGTGCTCCTTCAGGAAAGCGGACAGATGAGAAGATGAGGAACTCTTAGCAGCCCAACACTCCAGAAACTGTATCCAGAGGCCTACAGACAAAGAGCTTTACCAGCCTTGGCTACAGTGAACCTGCCTCAGGCAGACCTCGACATGCACAGGGGTTAAAAAAACATGCCTTACCCGTGCACAGCCCAGGAGATTGAGGGAGAAGAGATGAGGGTTCACAGCGATGAAGTCTCCGTAGAACTCCTGCAATTATATAAGGCTATAAGGCTCTGCATGGCTTGGCACCTCAGTACCTGTCTGAGCTACTATCATCCTACTCCCCAGCTCTCACCCTTTCCTCTTCCAATTCTGGTCTCCTAACTGTCTCCCAAACCCGTCTACACTGGGTGACAGGGCCTGGAACTGGAACTCTCTCCCCAAGGATATAGAGCCGCCTTCCCTGAGCTCCTTCAAATCCAGACTCCAAACCTTCTTCTTTAGAAGAGCCTTTACTGAACTGGTTCTGTTCTTTACCTCTCTGCTCCTACTATACTTCGTACCCCCATCCACGGTCTCCTCCATGTATAGTAATTGAACTCGGAAGGGAAAAAGGCTTGAAAATGGCCTGCAGACCCAACGCCCACGCGCTCTAGCCCGGGATGAGTGCAGATTCCCTGGCTTTTTTCCGCCTCTACTCAGAAACAGCGGCCAAAACGGAACAGGAAGCCCGCTCACCTGCACCTCGGCCACGACCTCCTGCTCGTCGGCCTCCGCCAGAGCCTTCACCTCGCTCTTGCTGATCACGTTGCTGAAGACTGCAAGACAGCGGCGCGGGGCCAGCCCGGGGGCAAGGGGAGGGGGGGGGGGGGGGGCCCGGCCCACTCACAACTTTAGAAAACGGTACTTAGCACAGGAGCGACCCATCCTGCACAAAGCAGTGGGGAATGAGAGGCCCAGCAGGTGGGGCGCGATGATTCCTGACATTGGTAAAGTAGTAGCAGACCAGGCCTTTTCCTCAGGATGCTACGGATTCGCAGCCTCTCAGCCTTCTGAGGGGCTTCAAAACGAGTTACGGTAAAGCAAGAGGGCCAGGGACATATTATCCAGGCAAACAGACTTTAATACTTAACATGTGACTACATGGTAGGCCTCCAGTGCTCCTGCTCTACAGGACGTCAGCAGAGAACCCTGTGTCCTGGTTCCGATCGGTACTCACAGATGAAGTAGACGCTGTACTTGGGCCGGTGGAGCTCCTGGATCAGGTGTTCGATGTTCTCCTGGAAAACACACGCAGAGTCCTGCCAGGTGTGCAACTGATCAGGACCTAAAAAAAATGCAGATCTGACCTCTCATTGAAATTCCAGCTCTGATCTCAGCGGGATGAACCAGAGGGGTCCTGCAGCCCTATCCTAACAGCAGTTCCAACTCTGGAAGAGCATCCGGACAGCACGACTGCCTCTCACAAAACTGTCCGGTTCTAAGCTCCCCAGGTGTGTAGCTGCAGATCATTCATCTCTCAGTGCCTCTCTTGGCATTGCTCCGATAAGCACGAGTCACTCTAGCACCCTCTGCCCTGGCACTTATCAAATACAGCTGGTTGAAATCAGAGCGTCTGTCTGCGAGGAGCACACGGTCAGGCAGAAGCACCCAGAGCACAATCATCGGTGCAGGCTGGGCTTGTGCGTCCTGCTACTGTGTGTGCTATGAAGGCAAGAAGCAACAAAACACAGCTCTCAGCCCACGAGAGAGCAGTTTGATGGATGTGTGCACTACAGCTGAGGCTACCCGGTTTGCCATGCAGATCGCACTGTGCAGAATCGACAGCAGTCCCACCTTTAAAACTCTTCCAAGCACACCAGGGAAGCCGAAACCAAATCCCCCCCCCAATCGATCATTTCGGACCAGGGCAGCCTGAATTTCCGAATCAGGTGGGTAGCTGCCCCACAGGGACCGCCATGCCCGGTGGGACTCTCCCAGCGCAGGACAGTACCTTGGTTGGCCGGAGGAAGCAGATCGCCTTCAGGTGCTTCATGTTCTCCCTGTTCTGCGAGTCGATCCGCTCGAAGAGGTAGACCTCCTTCTGCAGGATCTCCGACTGCATGTACACCACGCTCACGATGCTGGTCTGCAGAGAGGGAGGCAGTGAGGACACCACCCGAACCCGAGAGCTGTGGCAGGGGTCTTACAGAAACACACACAGCAGCGCAGCTCGCGGAAATCCGACGATCCAATTCACAAACTCCCAGTCAGGATCCAAAGCAGGAGCAACTCCATAAAACAGACGAATGCAAAACAATCTGATACATGTTAAGCACATGCAGCACATTAGAGATGAGTTCAGTTTAGGTTTTTTTATTCACTGCGATTTAAGTGGATGAAATAAAAAAACCACAGAGGCGCCGTGGTTTGCACTGCTGTCTCGCAGATTTGCGGCCCCTGGGTTCAATTTCAGCCCTGGGGTGCTGTCTGTGTGGAGTTTGCATGTTGTCTCTGTTCGCATGGGTTTCCTCCAGTTTCCTTCCACAATCCAAAGACTTGCTGGGAGGCGAACTGACTTCTGGTGTGTGTGCCCTGTATTGGTCTGATATCACGTGATCCTTTATGAGCTAGTGGTCAGAAAATGGATTGAATGCATTCTCAGCAAGTAGTTCTCATCATGAAGTTTAATTTGTTCCATTTATAGCAGAGGTCTCCAAATCCTGGTTTTTATTTTATCGGCAATCAACAGCTCTCATCCATCACCCACAATCCAAACTGGCTCCTGCTCCTTGATGCTTCATCCTAAACTCACACAAGACTGCAAGGACAGTAAAACGGCTGTTCTGGCCATCTGGCATCTAACAAAACAGCACAACAAAACTAACAATTTAACCTCGGGCGGTTTAAGGATGGATGCAGTTCTTAGGTATCCCAAAGGACCTGTCTCATCTCGCGTTCAACTGCTCCGGGTCCTAAAATAAAGATTACTGACTGTAACACCAGCATATTGTGACACAGCAGGGTTAATTAGGTTAATTACTCCCCATGGCGCAGACATGAGCTGGTACAAAGAAGTTATGAACAAATATGACCAGAAAACACGAAATATCGAAGAGCTCTTATCACCCAAGTTTCAGACTTAACTGGTCACAGTAAACGTACAAAAGCCACCGAAAAAGACACCTATAAGGCTACAGCTTTTAACCCTACAGCTCGCCAGGTTTAGCGCACGGTTTCGAGTGGACAGGTCGTGTAGCGGTTCGGTATTAGTGATCTTCTCCCCCAGAACCCCTGAATTTGACTTCAAAGAAAAAACACTCTAAGAAGCCACAGACCAGTCTGTGCTAAACGCACCCCAGCGCTTTATTCTTTCTCTGAAGATACTCCCCTTGTCTGAGATCCAGCAGGAATTTGATCTGGGACTAACGAGCAGGGAACTGCTGTTTCCCAATAAGAGGACGGACACCTACCGTCTCCTTGTCCATCAGAAGCACCTTCATGCCTGGGCCGCTGCTTTCGATCATCTTGGAGATGTACTGCTTCACAGCCAGTGTCACGTTCATTTTTGAGGCAGTTTTATTCTTATTATAAATAAATCGAAAGAGATTTGACTTTGACGATAAACTCCTAGTTAGATGCGCTGATGGCTCATAAGGACTTGAGGCTGCAGATCACTTCAAATCGAAGAAGGACTCATCACTTTGGCGTACCAGTCATACAAAACAAACCAGCTGTGTTGCGGCTTTGACCCCGGAAGAGCATAGTCTTCTGGTTTCCGTGTCCTGGCGGCATGCTGGGTTTTGTAGTCCGAGTTGGTACACCGTTCAGTCCAGCTAGATAAAATAAAGTATATAAATGAATTGATAGATTTATTAATGAAATCATACACTGAAGTCCGAATTCTAACGTTTTAACTGGATCCGCAGCATTGAAAGACATGTCCAGTTTTAAGCAGGTTGCTTATTTTTTATTGTAATTTTTTAATCACCCTTTCTTAATCGGATGGTATTGTCCTGGATTTGTCTCTCGGTTCAAAATGACGGTAAAGGGAATATTTTCACTGGTAATGTCAATTATTAATGAGAATCAGAATGGGATAAAATAAACGTACCAAAGGTTACCTAAGAGAATACAAATCTGCCCCGTTTGACATATAACTCTAACACAAATTAATTGGGGTGGCACGGCGGCTCGGGTATTAACATTACTGCCTAGTATGCTGTCTGATTGTCAGTTTTGAGTATGTATGTTCTCCCTGTGTACAAATGGGTTTCGTCCCACAGTTTAAGGACTTGCTGTTAAGTTAATTGGCTTCTGGGAAAACTGGCGTGAGTGTGTGTTTCTGTGTGTCTGTGTGTGCCCTGTGATGGACTTCTGTCCTGCCCTGCCTTGCACCTGTTGCTTGCAAGGATAGGCTCTGACTGCCTGCAACCCTGAACTGGATAAGCAGTTATTGAAGGGGATGCGGTGATGTTATGTGAACGGGCGTCTCTCTCTGTGGATTAACTGGTGAGTGTTTTCCTTCTCACTCAGTTCCTCACAAACAAAACTCCTCACTTCTCACTACTACTGGTCTGAAAAGGACGGTGTGTCAATTGCACAGTGTGAACGGCGTCTTCTTGCACAGAGATTTCACATGCAGGGGAAGGAAGGTGAGGGCATATGTTACTGTATGAGCCATTTTCCCTAAGACTCCAGGATAGGAGTGTTCACATTACTCCTATCCTGGAGTCCTTGCACTGGCTTCCTGTCAAATTCAGTGTGGACTTAAAAATCTTCATGTCTCCTATAAGGCTCTGCATGGCTTGGCACCTCAGTACCTGTCTGAACTATCATCACCCTACTCCCCACCTCGCAACCATCGCTCTTCTAATTCTGCCCTCCTTACTGTCCCCCAAGCCCGTCTACATTGTATGGGCGACAGGGCCTTCTCCTGTTATGCCCACAAGCTCTGGAACTCTCTCCCCAAGGATATCAGACTCACCTTCTCTAAACTCCTTCAAATCCAGACTCGCAACCTTCTTCTTTAGAAGAGCCTTTTCTGAACTGGTTCTGTTCTTCACCCCTCTGCTCCTAGTATACTTGGTACCCCCATCTACTGTCTCCTCTGTGTATTGTAATTGTGTTTTATCTTGTGTATTCTTCTTATTTATTGTTGTTGTCATTCTGTAAAGCGCTTTGAAAAACCACCTTTAAAGGCGCTTTGTAAAATAAAGTTTATTATTATGAAGACAATGTGACATTGTGTCATATCCTATTCCTATGTTACAGTTTGTACATTTTAAAAATGTCAATGGCCTCATATACAATTTGTCTGCTAAACAAAACAAACGCTCAGCAGCAATCCCACCAGAGTCCACCTGGAATCCTGCTGAACAGATTCAACAGCTCCCCATCTCATAGAGAACATCATACATGTCTCCTCTAATTTTATTCATATCAGATACCATACAAACACTAAGACGCTGTAGCCAGTAAATATACCCATGCATCAGAGTGCATAAGTACCTCTATAACAATTCCATACATGAATATGACATCTTTTTCAATTCGTGACAGTGAGCCCATACAAGTACTTACAACCCATGACAGGAGGATCCACAATTATCCACAAGGAACAGAATACTGGCAGGCAAGGAAGTGCAGTGGTCAGCAGTGCTGCCTCTCAGCTCTGGGGTCCTGTCTGTGGGGAGTCTGTATGTTCTCCCTTTGTTTGCATGGGTGTTCGTTGCAAAATTGCCCAGGCATGAGTGTGTGTGTATCTGCCCTACCATGGACTGGTGTCCTGATCAAAGTGTACCCTGCTCTGTGCCCACTGCTTGTTGGCATAGGCTCTTGCTCTCCCCCACCCCCTGACCCTGAATTGGGTACAGTGGTTAGAAAACAGAGGGGTGGGTGGTATTAATTAATGGCTGCTGGTGTCTGTATATCACTTTTGATTCCAAAGCTCTCCAAAGTCCCTTTACACAGAGGAGGGGACCCACTGCACTCACCACGGACGTGCACCCCCATTGCAGAGGAGATCCAGCAGAGAAGTGAGCGCTGACCAGTGGTGACCAGCTGTAGGGTGGACAGTAGTCTCAGCTGGCCTGTCACTGGAGGTCATTAAGGCCTTTGTTGTCTGTGCACAGGTTCACACATGTGGTGCATTGGAGCCTTGATTGAGTAATTAATTAGATCATTGGGTGAAAGAGTGAGAGCCACATGCTCACATGGGGTTAATTTAGACTAGTGTGGTATATAAAGGGACTCTCGGGGAGTGGGAGGGGAGGAGGTGATGTTGGTTTTGAGTAGTTTGTTTGGTTTTGGTAGATGAACAGTTCTCCTCATACAAAGCCTTGCTGTTTGTTGTGACTTCATGTGCTCAGGATGCTTGAATGGAGGTAGGCCTCTCCTGTTACTTCACTAATGGAATGGAGGGGGAACTTCTGGGAGAGCAGACTTGCCCAAGTTCAGAGGGGGAAAGGGCTGGGACACCAGGGTAATTCCCCAGCTCTTGCGGGTGGTGCCTCAGGAGATGAACACTCAGCAACTTGGTGCACCACCTACAGGACAGTGTCTCCGGTCACCATACTGGGGCATTGATGTGTGAATCCTCCTTCAGAGGAAAGTGTCACCTACTGGTTAATGTTCCCTCTAATTTTTAATGGCCTGTGTGTGTAAAAATTGAGTTGTGTAATTTTTTTCCCCCCGTTACAGACTTGTGCACATTTAATTTAGTGTATATTAACAATTTCAGGTTTATGATTTTACATAGTTATTCTCATAGAAGCATAGAGATCCAAAAGACTGGGATAGCATCTTTTAAAATTTGGTGAATTGTTTCCTATTGGATTAGGGGGTCTTAAATGCTGAACTAAGTCCTTTTCAGCCTTCAGAGGCTGGCGGTTGAATTGAACAGGAGACTTTTCTTTTTTTTTTTGCCTGGTTTTGCTCTCGGGTGTTGGCTGATCTCGACTGCTCCAGTGAGAAGAGCTCTGCGGGACAGGCTGTAGACACCTGCTTTTGAGATGCCTTAATATGCACAGATTTCTAAATGGACATCCATATCAAACACAGGGAACAAGTAAAGGTTCATTTCATGCTGAAAAGAGACACTGTGGAGCCTTCTTGCAGTGATCTGTACAGGCAATTCTACACATCTCTGTAATGCTATTTCCATCTATACATTCAGTTGTGAATTGTATTATGAGGCATGTAATCATGTAACTGAAGATAGGTGTGCTTAAGGGGACAATATTGCCAACAATAAGTCCTTGCACTTATTGTATAGCCCTTTAATTTCAAAGTGTGTCCTACAGGTCTCACCTGATTTATCACTAAATTGGAGCGTTCAAGATCAAGAACCCTTTTATATCAATCTATCCATTCTGAGTGCTTTATCCAGGTCAGGGCTGTGGTGGGGGAGCTGGAGCCTATCCCAGCATGCAACAGGCACAAGGCCATCTCTAGTCTGGACAGGATTCCAGTCCATTGCAGGAGGGCTACTTTCCCCAGAAGCCTTTGGGTGGGCGGTGTGGGGGGGGGAACCAGAGCACCTGGAGTAAAAAACCATGCAAACAGGGGGGTGAACATACAAACTGCATGTAGAAGGCAAGCACCCCAGGTCTGGCCTTGAACCCAGCACCCCGGCTCTGGAAAGCAGTAATGCTCTCCACTGATCTGCCCAACCCTTTGAAGTATGGCCTTTTTTTTTTCTTCTCATATAGGTTCTAGACAACCTCTTCCATATTCTGCACAATGCAATTACAGGTTTAACATTCCAATTTTCCAATTGGGGAAAACATTTCTGGCATAACAGACCAGATGATTTATAGGAAAAACACTGATAAAGGTTGTTTCCCATCTATAAGTTCATCACACACTTCCTTCACTCTTGACTGTTAATGTTCCACTTCCTCTGGTATTTAGTACAATGAACAGTCAGGGGCTGCTCAGTTCTGTGTATTTAAACTTATCAGCAAAGGTATTCCTAGACAGGATGTGGCACAATTGTTTAAATCTCTACACTGATTAAAAAGGTTTGCCTTGCTTTTATTTTCTTTGTCTCATCTCCAGTTAAAGAGCAGCCTGTGTCCTTCAACTTGAACAGGGCTTTATGACCAATCGGGTTGCAGTCTGAGTCCGAGCGCATTGGATGGCTGCAGTCTGGGCTGGTGGGTTTGGAAACTGCGCTGCAGTTAATCCAGGCTGGAACAATACAGGGATGTGCTGTGAAAGTTTTCCCAGGAGTTGCAAGGTTCAGATAGCGGTCTGGATAGACCACAGCTTCCTGGGAAGCTGAAATGTGTTTAGTGCAAGAGCAGAATAGATTTTCAATGTGTTGCTTTGCAAAAAAAGGCAGGGGTCTAGTTCTCTCAGAACAATCGCAGAGCGCCCCATTGTGAAGGACACAGGCAATGCACGGCTCTCTGGATAAGGAACTGCCCGGATTGTCATGCATGCTCCTTCTAGAAACTTTGCCAAAACTATGACTTCCTCCAGGGAGGAATGGGAGAAACGGAGGGTTGGACTCTGGGGTTCCAGCACATCCGTGTCCCAGGGCTATCGAGAACAGTAAGCTGGCTGGGGGGTCCCCTGCAAGGCCCTGGGTGGGCGTTGCAGGAGGTCAAAGGTCAGTCGTCCGTCGGGCCCACGAGTTTGGCGCTGAGCTCCCACAACTGTCTGGCAGCCTGGTCGTCCTTCCCTTCCGGAGCTGGCTGCTTGAGGGCGCAGTCACTGATGCAAAGACAAGAGGCGCAGTGTCACGGCCGGAGCCCCAGTTTTTTTTAATCCTGAAACAAGATTTGCTCCCACCACCACCACCACCGTTCATCATGCTAAAAGCAAAACTCCTCAAGCTTCAAACTGGGTCAGCGCAGGGACAAGAACTGGTTTATTTAGCCCTGTGAAGCGGAAAGAATTAGGGGAGAAAAACATTTTGGCTGCAGTGCCTTCATCCTTCATCAGGTGTGTATGAAGGTGGAGTGTCCCCCATCCTAGTCTTGGGGAAGGTCAACCTTCTAAATCTTGAGCTGAAGTAATTTAGTCTCTGTTTAGGCAGAGGAGGGAAAAAAAAACATACAGAGGCTCCAAGCAACCTGCTGGCTCGGTTTAGGATTCATTAATCTACAGAGCTCAGCTGCAGTGAAACGCAGTAGATGTTGGGGGGAGGTCCCCACAACCAGAATTGGGGAACCCCTACCGATCTAATGGGTTCTCTCTAACAAGAGAGGCCACAGCCAAGGAAAAACAAAAAGTGTTATTTCCAAGTCGTGTTTTGGAAGTCGTGTTGTTCTCGTTTGCTCACTGTGACAGAATGCCAGGGCATTTTCCCAAACTGCTCCAAAGGGCAAAAAAACACTTTCTGCAAATGTAGTACACGTGCTTCTGCTGGCTGGGGAGCTTTGCTTTTTTCATCCCCCCTCCCCAATGACCGCGGGGAGTGCAGAGCTGGCTCTGGAGGAAGGAAGGGGCCAGCGTCCCCACATTTGAAGGGCGGAGACAAGCTTCAACATTTTGCAACCAAGCACAGCAGAGGAACCGGAAGAGGCTCTGGTCCGTGCCCTGTCTCCCACAGCCCACCCTCCTCTACCTGAAGTAGCAGCCCGAGTACTTCTCTAGCCCTTCAGTCACAGCGCAGTAGATGGAGGTCTGGGCTCCCTCCGCGGGGGTCTTCATGAGGAGCAGAGAGGGGCCCGAGACGATAGCCTTCAGCAGGGGGTACCCCGTCAGCACGTGGCGGCCCAGCTCTGTGCGGATCACCCCGGGGTGAAGGGAATAGGAGGTCACCCCACTTCCTGCGGAGCAACACAGGCAGGGGGAGAGGAAGTTATGGCACAGCGCTGCGATCACACCATCTTATGGAAGACGTGCAGAGTGGTGCCAGGAAATCGCGGATCAGTGGGTACAGGACTCTACTGCAATCGGATGAGGATAGGATAGTACTGCCTCAATCCCACAACGGGACACTGAAGCCAGAGGATCCCGTGTCTCTCATGGAGGAGAGTAGGTGGCTGTCACCAGCTCCTCTAATCCGTGTCCAAGGGCCAGCATGTTCCCACTAGAGGGGGGAGCTTCAGGACTAACGTCTCTTAATGTCACGTGTGTTTGAACTTTCTAGCTTCCCTCGCTCAGCTTTTGTAAACGGATGCTAGTCAAGCTATGAGGTAAACAACCCCAGCAAGGGAGGAAAAGAAAACTGTACCTTTGTTGATAAGAATTTAATAATACTGACCCCCCCGTCCTGCTCTCTGCTGGCACTGCAGGGCCTCGTGCCCACACTGACCCCATCCTTCTCTGTGCAGTGCCTCGTGCCCATAATGATCCCATCCTTCTCTCTCCAGTGCCTTGTGCCCACACTGACCCCATTCTGCACTCTGCAGGGCCTCGCGCCCACACTGGCCCTCTCCTGCTCTCCGTTCACTGCAGGGCCTCCTGCCCACACTGACCTTGCATCCTCCGAGCCAGCTCCCTGGAGAAGAGCAGCACAGCCAGTTTGCTCTGCCGGTAGCTCACCAAGGAGCTGTAGGGCGTCTTGTCAAAGAAAATGTCGTCGAAGTGGATCTGGCCTGCGGGGGGCGAGAAGAGTAGCCCAGTTGAACCTGTGGAGATGCCACCTGCATTCACAATACAGACATAAAAACCGCTGCCTACAGGGACTAGAATAGAAGTTCACCTCGGGTCTCAGTAAGAAGTACCTTCTACCATCTTTCACTACAGGCACAGCACTGAGATCCATTAGAACGAACACATTTTTGATTGCAGACCACATTCCATGGACAAAGCACTTTCCACAGGGAAAAATAAGAGTACAGATGAAAATCAGTACAGGAACTAAAATCCTGGGTGCCAGAATTGCATGATATATTATCTATCCACCCGATTTGGCATTTCTTTCCTTTGGAAGGTTGCAGAAGTGAACAAGCGTCTCTTTTGGCACCTGCAGAAAACCCCATGTGCACATGATTAGAACATGCATGCTCCACACAGACAGACACACCCATGAGTATATGTGTCATTCAGTGCGATAGCATCCCATCCTGGGTGTATCATTTTGCTTGCTGGGATAGGCCCAAGCTCCCCCACAGCCCTGAATTGGATAAAATGGATACAAGGAGGTCTTTAATTTCGATTTGAAAGCTGCAGATTTGATGTTCCTCGTCTCCACATTAACTTGCCATTTAGGACTCAACCTAGCAAACTCTTGCTCTGAGACGGCAGCATGAACAGACGGTTTGTAGTGTCATGGTGCAGCATTGCTTCAGAGATGTTGGTCCTCCTGCTGCTTGATCAGGACTAGTGCCAGCACCCTGGTTTTTATCTCCAATCCCAGTACTGCTGAGAAACGGCTTCAGAGTATTGACAAGGGGAATGATTGGGCAGTGCGTTCTCCGCCTGACCTGAGCGGGACTTCTATTCTGTTTCTGGAAAAGCTACTTGCGTTCACTTCCCTTCCTCTGCCCGGTTGCCCCAGTCTGTTGATCTGAAATGGAATTAGATGGGCACCTCTAATCTAAGGAGGCACTACTTTACATAAAGTGTGGAACAAGCTACCCAGCCATGTCATTGAAGCTGATAAATGGACATCACTGTTTATTTCAGAACATTTTGGCTTTAGTCCACATGGTTTTGAAGGTATATTAGCCTGGAAGGCCTTGGGGATAAGGCAGTCAAATGTCCTTGAGCAAGGAATGCTGGGAATGTGTTGTTTCTCTACCAGGTATAGCAGTGGAGGCTGTGTTTTAGTCTATTGCTACTGCAGAATTTGTGCGCCTCAACCCTGTGGATTACACCAGGAAGTAAATGCGCTAGGAGACAAGGGCAAAGGGGCGGGGAGAGGGAGGGGCTTACCGCCTTTGTGAGCGATGCTGGACACATTGACCACCCGGCTGGGGGCGGAGCTCTTCAGCTTTCCCAACAGCTGATTGGTCAGTAAGAAATGGCCCAGGTGATTGACGCCCAGCTGCATCTCGAACCCGTCTTCTGTGGTCCATTTGGGACACATCATGACACCTGCGAGGAGCCGAAACAGGTACCAAGAAAGAGGAAGCCACTGTTAATAGGCTCCAGCTGACTGGAGCCAGCCATCGTTTTTAGATTGGGTCCTGCTGGGTCTTCCCCTGCACAGCTTTCACAGGACAACTTCTAAACAAGCCGGAGTTTTAACGGCATTGCTCCTTCTCCGTCGTTATCTGCTAATCGTGTTGCTTTTGATTTTCTCACTGTGCTTGCGGTCCTGAAGAGGGTCAGATCTTGGCCTTGATTGACCTTGCCCTCTTTCACAACACATGACTTATACTGTATTCTGTAAAGGAACTGTGGCAAGGGCCTGTGCTTCTATAATGATGACTAATTTATTCGTCTGAAACCCATGTCAGTGACTGATATTTTGCACTCATTTACACAGCTTCCTTCTTTCCTTTATTGTCCCAGATGGGGAAATTAGCTTTACAGGCAGGTAAAAAAACATAATTCATCTAACACCCCGTGAACCTATTGACAAATAAGAGACATGCATGTTTGAAGAACAAAACTACACATACAGCAAAATTTACAATCCTTCATTTAAATGATTGCAGCCAAATTAAGCAGGTTAATAGCCATGGAAAAAAAAAGTAACTTGGTTCTATTGCTCTTGCATATAGGCAGTCTAAATCAATGCCCAGATGGAATTAATCAGATTCATTGTGCAAGGGGTGGTTAGGATAGTCAGTGAATATATTGGCCTACTGCACTAATTGCTCAACAATAATGTCTGACAACTGGAGTTGTTGTGCACCAATCTTGCTGGCTACCTTCACAATCCTGCTGTCTGTTTTTAGTGTGTGTCTTCAGTTCATCAAACCCAGTCACTGCAGTAAATGTGAGGACAGGTTCACTGAAAGTGCTGTAGAATAAAGTCATCGTTGTAGCACGCACATTAAAAGAGCAGGGTTTTCTCCGGGAGAACACTTGCAGTTGGCTCTTCTTACACATGACATCCATGTTTTCCTCCAAAGTGAGCTTGTCATCCACAATAGTGCCAAGATATTTAACACTTTCATGCTCCTCAGTGACAGCTGGGTATTGTACTGGGACAAATTGAGTGGACCAACTTGCTCAAGAGTACAAGAGCTGGGATTTGAACCCACAACCTCCTCCTCCATACTGCTGCCCCCTGCCCCAGCTCAGTCCCTCCTAGCACCCTGTGCTGCTAGGGCATGTTCTTTAACTCATCCCCAGAACCTTTTGAATCCGTCCCACTAGCAGTGTTAAGGACTGCTGGCTGTTCTCCCCCACACAGCGTGCCCCTGCTAGGTCAGTATCCTCTCCGAGCCATAGAAGTGCATTGGGACAGAGCTCATCCTGGCTTCCTGTAGCCACCAGCGGGCCAGAGAGAGGACAAGGAACCCAGTTCAGGGGTCACCCCCCACGAAAAAAGTGGCTGAGTTCCCACTTATGGGTGCAACAGCAGGGATTGAACCCACAGGCCACCAGTCACAAGACCACAGACTTACCTGCTTTGCTACAGTGCCCCTCATGGCCCTTCATAGCCTTTGTCAGCAGCTGTACTGGCGTCCTTTGAATGAGATGTAAAACTGAGGTCCTGACTCTCTGTGGTCATTAAAAATCCCAGGGCGTTTCTCGAAAAGAGTAGGGGTGTTACCCCAGTGTCCAGGCCAAATTTCCCCCCTGGCCTTTACCAGTCATGGCCTCCTAAGGTCTCCGCCGTCGAGGAGGCAAGGGGCCGGCGCTCAGCAGGTCTTACCGGCGTTGTTGATGAGCACGTCCAGCCGCTCCTCGCTGGCCAGGTAGTCCCGGGCGAACTGGCGCACGGAGCAGAGCGACGCCAAGTCCAGGTGGCGCACGGCCACGTTCCCGTTGCCCGTGGTCCGGCGGATCTCGGCGGCCGCGGCTTCGGCCTTGGCCAGGTCCCGGCAGGCGATGACCACACGGGCACCTGGAAGGGAGAGGGCTGCGGGGGAGAACTGTGGCCGCTATACATGGAGTGTGCGCGTGGGCGCCCCCTCCTGGAAACAGGAGAGAAGCCTGCCTCTCTCACAGTCAAGATCCAAAAAAACATGTCCCGCCTGGCTTGAGCAAGTCTTTCAAGTTTTCAGCCTCTCTTTAGCCAGGGGGCGATATTGCTCCAGAATCAAGAAAAACTGTCAAGAACAACTTGTGTTTTAAAAAGCATGGAATAATTCCAAACTGGCAGGCTTCCTAACTACTTCACATTTGGAAAAGACAGGTTTAAGAGCTCTAGTTGCTTGATGGGGACTGTGTAGCATAGTAGGCAAGTCACTGGACTCATGACAGGGGGGTTACAGGTTCAAGTCCCAGCTGTGAAACACTGCCTTAGAAATGAGGGGGCAGTGCAGCATAGCAGGTAGATCTCTGGTCTCATGACTGAATGAGCTTCTCTACCCCAGTTGCTGGAGTACCCTGACTTATTTAACAATCCGAGAGGTAGCCAGAGGGCCTGAGCTTCCTGTTTTAGGGTGTCTAGCAGACAATTATTTCCAGGAGATACAGTATTCCCATCAAAGTCTGGGAAAAGAACAAGATGGACGATTATTCTTTCTTTATCTGGTTGATGCTTTAATTCAAAGCGATGTACATTGGCTGCAGTTCATTCAGTTTGGTATTTAAGTGAAGTTAAGAACGTGCAAGAGTACACCGGCTTGTTGCCCTGCGAGTCGAACCCCCAGCCTTTCAGAATACAGAGCCCTAATCGCTACTCCCCACTGCTGCCTCGGGACACATCACTTGACTGTCTCAGTGCTATTGTATCTCACTGGTCTCATCCCTTTTCAGTTTCTGAAACTCTTCCACTTTGCACCGTTAGGTGACATTTTTCTTGTAAAAAAAAAATAGTTTCAGGCATTGCCCAACTTGATATTGGCAACGGTGAAAGATACATGTAAGCTACAAGGCTACAGTAAAATGTATCCATTGCTACAGTACCACATGCAGAGAAGGAAGAGAGGGGAATTAAGAAAGAATGTAGCCACTGCCTCCCGACAAACACAAGTGTCAGGGCCGTTCACCTCTGGACATGCTGCAAGCTCTATGGTGCCTTATACAGCAGGTGAGTTAAATCTGATTGGAGGAGAGGCCTGTTTCTCAGTGACATCATCGCCAGTCTGCAGGTACCCAGCAGGTCCCTGGATGCTGCTGTTTGTACTGAAGGTCAAGTGAACCCTGTCCACAAGCCCCAACCCCAGCAGTGCTGTGGGGTGAATCCTGAATCGCCTCATGACCGTGGGGACCGGGGTTCGAACCTGCAAGCGCCTGGACCACAGGGCTCGACCTGGGCCTTCCACGAGCTCCTATACCAGCCGAGCCAGGCGGGGGTCGGCGGCGCTTTACCTCTGCGGGCCAGGTCACGCGCCGTCTCTTTGCCGATGCCCGTGTTGGCCCCTGTGATCAACACCGTCTTCCCGTCCAGGCGGGCCCGGCTCCGGCACACACCACCCGAGATCCACTTCCGGAGGAGAACCAGACCTGGAATGCAGGGGATATGACTGTAGGGCCAAGTGTCCTCAGAACCTCCTTGATTCAAAGTGTCTGGGATACATCAGGATAGTGATTCGGCAGGTTACCAGATTTCACCCTCCTGCTTAAACGCTATTATTATTATTATTATTATTATTATTATTATTATTATTATTATTATTATTATTAAGATGCAAGGGCTTAGGGAAGGTGACTCTTGAATATTCTCAGGGACAGAATTCCAGAGTTCTGGGACATAGCTTAATGTACTGCAGCTTGTAGCATGCTGCCCCAGCCCTCTCTGTGTTTTTCCATGTTATTACATGATTGCTTTACTATGACTGTACTTCACTTTCCTGGGCCTTTACCAGCGTCGACCACATCCTCCATCTATCACAGCCACGTGCCTCTCCCCACCCGCCGATTTACAAAAGGCTGCCTGAGGGATGTCATTGGACTGATCACTGACTTAGGCTGCCTCATCAGTGCAACGGATTTCCCAACATTGCATCGACGTTACCCACTCGCTGATCACAGCGTTTCTCGCAAACTGCCGAAACGGCAAGAAAACCCCCTACTCCCCCACTGGAGGGCTGCAGGTTTTACAGGGGTTCGAATTCCCTGATGACTGCAGACTTGGAATCTGGAGCCATTCAGAGACCAATTACGTCAATAATGGCCTCAACGGAGCCGTCGAGAGCTCAGGTAGGAAGAGAACAGGCCCCGAGTAGCTCTTTGAGACCAGGAGGGAGGTTGACAGCATGAAAAAAGAAGAAACACTCTTTAGAATCCAGAAATTATTCCAGTGGCTCTTCTGTGAACTTTCCATAAGGCATCAACTTTCTTTTGTATGAGCTGGCGGATTCAGCTTGGGACCCAGTATCCTGAAAGAGTTCTTAGTCTCTTAATTGGACAAACACAGCTTCCCATGCTAGGCTCTCGGCACCCTGATTCGCTCTGGTTTCATGCTCTTTGATCTTCTCAATTTGCACACACTGCCACTTACTTCCAAAAGGGTTAATTACACCTCATGAAATGTTCTGCTCTGAAACTGTTACCTTTGTGAAGGTAACGAGCCAAATAAATTCCTTCAGCACTGCATGAAAGCCGGTGAAAAGCTCTAGATAAGCAGATCGTGAGTTCACTTAAGGGTCCTGTTATCCTTAATGTTGTGTTCAGAATTTAGAGAAACGCTAATGTTACAGTTGATTTAGACACAAGGCAATGTTAAACTACATAAAATTGTTTCAATAATAACTCACAACTGGCAATCCACTGAAGCTCAGCAGGTGTGAGCCTGGTCAGTACCTGGATGGGAGACTCCTGGGAAAAACTAAGGTTGCTGCTGGAAGAGTTTTTAGTGGGGCCAGCAGGGGGCGCTCACCCTGCGGTCCATGTGGGTCCTAATGCCTCAGTATAGTGACGGGGACACTGTACTGTAAACAGGCACCGTCCTTCGGATGAGACGTAAAACCGAGGTACTGACCCTCTGCGGTCATTAAAAATCCCAGGGTGTTTCTCGAAAAGAGTAGGGGTGTAACCCCGGCGTCCTGGCCAAATTTCCCATTGGCCCTTACCAATCATGGCCTCCTAATAATCCGCGTCTCTGAACTGGCTTCATCACTCTGCTCTCCTCCCCACTGAGAGCTGGTGTGTGGGGAGCGGACTGGCGCATCATCCAGGTGGGGCTGCACACTGGTGGTGGTGGAGGGGATCCCCATTACCTGTAAAGCGCTTTGAGTGGAGTGTCCAGAAAAGCGCTATGTAAGTGGAAGCAATTATTAATTATTATTAACTGTTCATAAGAGTGTGAGTATTAACCAAGTGACCTGGCTGCAATCTCTGTGTCTTTGGGATTTTGTTCCACATCTACTGCTAATTGGCCGGGATTTTGAAATCCTTAATCACACGGGCTGTTTGGTTTTCATACTGTACTAAGGTCTCAGCTTTGGAAGTAATCAGCACTGTTAATGTATTTTTCTTCCAGTTGGAGCCATTTACACAGGCATTTTACTGAAGCAATCTGAATGATGTCCCTCTCTCAAAGAGAAAGATCTGCCAAGGACTGGTCCCAAACCTATCAGTTTGCAATCCAGACTCTCTGCCACTCCTCCTGCTTGCTCAACAACCAGCTCCTTTATGTGTATTTTTACCAGGGTGCTTTGCGAACACAATCTCTATTTCATCTGGGTGTAAAATAGTCGCTGTCACATCCAATAAGATTTCTGAACACCTCATTGTCCGTCAGTGAGCGACGCATCCACGCAGACGGGAATGACACTGTGACAGGCACTCGGATTATAGAATTTCACACTGTCTAGCACCACTGATTACACTTCCCCTTGAAACCACTGTCACAGCCGAGAGGAATTCTGAATCCCAGCTCCTGGCCAAGGGGTGGAAGATGACGTCTCAATCTCTCTTACTGTCCAGAGGCCGGAGCTGTTTTTTCTCCGAACAGCCAAGCGTTCAATTCTGGCTCGAACACATGTAATTAAGAAGGAACCCTGCTGGAATAAAAGGCAGGAATTCCCAGACCCTGCTTGAGAAGCACTGGTCCGTTAGGAATTATTATTTTGGAATTCCGTCTAGGAGAGACTGATGCCTCAGAAACCTGGTATAGAAAAACTCGGGTGGGCCAGGTCCTTAGACAATGACTCAGGGCTTCTCCTTTATATAAAACACCCTTTTAAAATAGTTCACGGACATATTTGTGTGTATCTCCCAACGCATACACACATACTCCCAAGTATAATGGGAATCCACCTATATCAGGTGTTCCAGGACCGGTTCTGGGGTCCTGGAGACCCCCAAACCTACTGGTTTCTGTTCCCCTTAAATTAAATAATTTAGCTTGAGTAATGTAAATAATTTAACCCTTAGTAGACCCCCAAAACAGAATTATTTTGAACCCTTAAATTGCATTTTAACTGTTTTCAATTCCTATATATCTAGGCTCTGTTCCAAGTATCTTGAAATATCCTTTCAGTACCACAGAGTGCAGCAAAGATTCTCAACAGGCAACCTGTTGGCTTAGTTCAGGATTTATTGAACTGAAGAGCCAGTGTCAGCCAGTGTGGGGACCTCAGGATTAGGACTGGGATCCCCTCTATTAGGTGACCTTTGCACTGTGCCCTGCAGATGCCTTTTCTTCTGGAGGTGAAACTTGAAGATGACGACTAAATATGATGATGACGACTGGAAACGCTACAGGAGCACGGACACGGCACGCACAAGCGAGTCTTTAAAACGGGGCCGGCCTACAAACCTTCGGATGACCCATTTTAGAATAGAAGTTACTACCAGAGTATGGTGTGCTACTGTACATCACTAAGATTTTTTTTTCAAATTAAAAGGACTGTGCACTAAAGCCGACCTTTTCAGCTGCCTCTAGCGCGTAAAACCGGTATTCCTTCATGATTTATTGATCAAAGAACGAATGAAAATCACGTTGATTTCGTACCCCCCAGAAGCAAATCCTTGTGATATTTACGCCCCGGGACGCGAGGTTCGAGACGAGCCATCCTGCGTGTAAACGGCAGCCGGTCAGACGGGGGACTTACTGATCGCAGTCACGACGGTCACCGCCCCGCACCTGGTCAGTAGACTGAACCACTGCCCCTGGTCCCACATGTCTCCCAAGAAGAAGGGGGCGTCGCTCCCTCGGGGTACCTGGCACCAGCTGGGGTGAGGGGGGATAAGGAGAAAGAGGGGGTCTGTGGAAGGAAATTGCCCCCTGGGTTTCCGTCGGCCTTGAGAACACGACCCGTTTCTGAACTCTCCGAGCAGCGCGGCTATGAATAGTCCTAAGCGAGCTAAATCAGACCTGATTAGAGGCTTCCATAGTAGATTAATGACTAATTCGAGCGCAGGAACACTCGTTGCGTTATTTGCCCCGGCTCTCTGAATCCTCTGTTAAGACCGATTACTGCCAACAGTGCAGCTCTGCTCTGCGCGGTGACTGGGGCAGCCAGAGCCACTTCTTAGGGGGGTTTTGTCTCGAATGTGGGTGTTTGCGCAGAGAACAGCCACAAAAAATAAATACCTAAGCAGGCCCCAAATAATCCATTTAAAAAAATAGAACGAGAGTTCTTATTTTAAAGGGTTTAAAACACGGCCAGGTATGCCAAAATTAACACGTTATGACAGAGGTAATTTATTCTCTAGTTCAGCGACATATCTTTTTCACCGTTAAACCCAGATCTTGGACGCACGTGGACATCCTCCAGACATTCTGGAATAATCTGTGTTGAACCCAGAAAGGAAAATTGGAAGAATTAATTTGAGCGCTGCAAACCTCGCATTTTTCACGATCGCAGGAGTTGTATCGGGGCGAACTACGGCGTTGTATGTAGGTCAGATAAGAATGAGAACCGCCGAGCCCGTCTGAGCGATGTCCCGCTGTTCGCGGCTCAGAAATGATGCTTAGACCGCCATCCTCCCATTAACACAGTGCCTGACCGCACACTCACATGGGCGGTTTGTGCTAACGTGATATAAAAGCATGGGTTTACATTCCATACATGATTTTTTTAAAACAAAATCGCGCCTGTTTTAAAACAATTCAATTCCCACAGCTGCTGAGCTTTCACAACTCAATAAAAAAACAAAAAGATCGAATCTAAAATGAAAACAAAATAACTACCACAATGTTTTTTTTTTCCTGAAGGCCTTCGCTGGGATGCCCACTGACAAGAATATGCCAAATACTCTCGTGTTGGTTTGGGGCAACTGGGGTGGTCCTGCACCAGCGAGCCGTTGGATAACGCATTTTGGTGTGTAGACTTATTCTCCTTTCAGTTTTTACGTAGCAGTTTTATTGATTTTCAAAATCACTGTTTAAATATTTCCCCGTGAAGGTGTGCAGCATAATGTTTATTTTGTCACCCCGACGACGCAGTAAAATTCGTCCTATAAATGATGAAATAACATACACTCGACCCATACGATCACAGCTGTTGCAAAGGTACATCTGTTTGTACTCTCCTGTCTCTAAAAATGTTAACATTTCGGAGGAACCACTGGCGTATTTGATTAACAAAACTGTCGTTACAGTTAAGAAAGTATTGCTGCAATAGAAAGGACACCGTTTGACGCAGTTCGCGCATTTTGCTTGTGGATGAAGCCGTTCCTGTCGGCCAAACCATTGTTCTGTGCAAAATCGTTGCTCCTCCGTCGTTTACGTTGGCAATATAACTCAATATTTCTCTTCTTAGAAACAGGATTTTGTGAGACTTTATTGTTATATAGACTTTCTTGTTTCATAAGGCCTACCACTTATTGTTGAGCGATTTTAGTAAAGGGAAATAATCGTCGTTTCTTAAATGGAAACCTTTCTGAAGTATCACCTTGGCCAAGTTTGGCCGCCATCTTGTTTTCTGTGGCTACATTTACTGTATTTTACACCCAATTAAAAATGATATGTGATACTGTGGATTTTATATTATTCGTGTATGGTTATTTAATAAATATTCATCGCCTGGATAGGGCGGAGTGTGATGTGTGTGGCCAAGGGGGAAATTTTATTTGGTGGATCAAGACCTCCACTGTGTTCCCCGTTGAGTATTCAAGATGTGATATCTTGATAGATGTAATATCTGATTACGTTTCTTTTTCTTGACTCATGTTTTGCCGCATACTAAAATGGTGTATCATGTATTATTTCTTTCAAAATACCTCACAAAATGGACGCACTTAGTGGAAAGCATAGGGCCCCCCCAAAGCAAAATTGGTGCTTTTATTGAGACATTTAAAAGTGTAGGTTCTCAAAATTTATATCAGTCCAATTGAGGGAAGTGTTTACACCTTACTATGTGACGTATTATTTTATTCCCCCCCAAAATGGACACAAAAAGACCCGCGCGAGCCACAATAAAAGGAACTACTTCGAGAGATTCTGCTCGGGGCGGCTTTTATTCGGCAGGGCCTCGGTGACGTCACCCCGCCCCCGCCCCTTTCGCGGCGCTCTCCTCCAATAAGAGCCGCGGGCTGGCAGGGAGGAAGTGACGTTGGCCTCACCAGCGCCGAGCGACAAAAAAAAAGAGAGGAGTGAGGAAAAAAAAAAATCGCCTGCCTGCCTGCCCCCAGATCGGGCTTATTTGTTTTCACCGGGTGGGCGAATCCCCGAAGCTTCCTCAGAATTTTAATTTTTTTTTCCTTCATTTTTTTTTTTAATTTTCCGTCGCCCGCCGGGGAAGGAGGACAGACGTACGCGAGGTGAGTTTGTTGTGATTGTGTGGCGGGTATTGTTCCCTCTGGTGGCGTCGGAGCGCGCGGCTCATTGTCCTGCCGGGGGGACCCGTCTCCCCCCATCCCGACCGGCGAGCGCCCCAGCCCCGGAGCCCACGGGCACGCTGGCGTGTGCGTGTCTGGGAGAGGGGGGGGGGACCCGGGGTTCCTTTAAAGGCGGCTGCCCCCGGTTTCGCGGGGGAGACGGCAGGCTGGCGTGTGTGCGCGGCGACGCGTCGGCCATGTTGGACGGGCTGTCCGGGCTGAGGAGGGAGCTGCTGGGTCTCTCCGCCCCCGCTGGCCGCCTGCGTGCTGGGTGCTACTTTAATTGCTCGCTGTGCAGGAGAAGCCTGGAAATGCGGCGCGATATTGGACTACAATGTGTAGTGTATAATGTGACTCGCACCAGCGCTGTGAGTGCAGGACAGTTTTTGCCTTGCGGGTTTATCACGTCATTGTTTCGTTTATTGTTTTTAAAAAGCCCTCAGTGCAAGTGTGCAGGGTGAAGATGGACGCTGCGTTCTGATAGGCTGCTGCGCGTATGACGTAAACGGCCCTTCATGTCGTGAGGTCAACTTTCTGCGAGGTCTCGACGTCACTCTGACGTCACCGGTGACGGAGTGAAACGGGCGGGCGTTTTTATAACGCACGGTGTTCGGTACAGATTTTTTTTATTTGGCTCACAATTTCAGAACCAAACTCGCTCCGAGCCCGAGGATGGGAGGAGAACTGGAGTGTTATGTATGTGATTTTTCATTTTGCCGGATTGTGCACCCCAGGGTGGAAAATATTTGCTTTTACATCACTTCGGTTGTAGAAGTCCGAAGAAAATTGATTCATTTAGTTGGTATATTATAAATAAAACAGGCCAGCAGCCATATCACCCTGCAACTCACAACTGGTAACCCACTGAAGCTAAGCGGGTGTGAGCCTGGTCAGTACCTGGATTTGAGACCTCCTGGGAAAAACTAAGGTTGCTGCTGGAAGAGGTGTTAGTGGGGCCAGCAGGGGGC